TGAGATGAGTGGGAAATACATTGGACATCCTACTGCCTGGGGACACTCGGCTATGCTTCCGGGTGCACAATTCTATATACAATATAAATAACCAAATGTCACCAAAATTAATAATTAAAATAACTTATGTGAAGAATAGAATATTGGGAGGGAGGAGGAATGAAAGGGATATGGGCAGAGGACACAAGCTAGGTAAGGGAGGATATGGGGAGAGACTCTAAGGGAATATGGCTAGGGGATATCAGACCGTAAGCCCCTCTTTGAAAGAGCAGCTGTGCACATTCAAAATCATAAACTTAAACCTAACCTTTGCCATATTGTCTGCATTATATGATTCAATTGTCTGTTTTCTGCATGAAAAAAATAGCTAAACTGGTAGGTTACAGGATTTGTGTAAAATGTGGCGCCCCTACTGGCAGTCTCTTTACACTGAAGGAAGAAAAGAAATGAGTCAACACTGCTGTAAGGTGCACAGGGCTGAAATAGTTATAACAGGATGAATTACGAAACCCATACTGTGCATGTTTCTATAGGGGCCGTATTGAAATTAGTCATTTTTAACAGTTTACATTCTAGATCACTCACCTAAGAAGGAACACTACGGCAGAACGGTGGAGCGAATGGGTCTAATAATAGGGGTGCAGTGGCCATTTCCTCTCACTGACCTTGATAATGCTTTGCTGGTTAGAAATCTATAGAATGGAAAATGTTCCATCATTGATTGTTAGTTCTTTTTTTTTCCAAACAGCAAAACACTGAGATATAATATCAACGTTCCACATTTTTTTTCTTTGTCAAAGTAAAAGCCGCACTTGTAGCCAAACGCACTTACAGTCTGTGGGTGTTCCACATGTTTATATAAATGCAATAATTTTGTTTATTCTCAATGTAGGAGGTTTCCTGTGGTTAGATACTTATGATAAACAAGGATTGATTGTCTAGTAGGTGTCTAATCCTTAAAATGTTCTAATTGTATTTTATTTTTAAATTTAATATATATATTTACATTTTGGTATGAGCAAGGACCAACTCAATATTTTTCTACGTTCTTTACTTTTATTGAAATATACAGAGCCCTGATTGCTCATAGGAACGTGGACTTTTAAAGGTAATATATAAGTCCATTTTTTTTTATTCTACGAATGATTCTTTCAATATATACCAGAAATACATTATAAAGATAAATCAACTGTTCTTCTCCAAAAACAAAAAAACAAAGTGTGAGAGAGTACTTAGAACGGACAACAGCTCAAGGAGCCTGCCCTTCAGTGGGTCCTCACTCACATCTCAAGTTGGTTTTAGCTCATCTTGGGCCATTTGCATATCAGACTGATCCCACCCAAAATGGCGGAACAGATCCAAAATGCAGGCCAACTCTCTCTGCATGAGAGATACAGCAACCGCAGGCGATCATTTCAGCCTTGTTAGGCATCATCGGTGAGGTATAGCTGATACCCCTCTAGGCCCCGTGAGCAAGGGGTCCATGTCTAGATTACAGCCCCTATGGGGTTGCTGTTTCTCATGTGCAGATGAGCTAAAACTAGCTTGAGATGTACGCGGGAACCCACCGAAGGGCAGGCTACTTGAGCTGTTGTCCATTCTTAGTACTCTCTTGTTTTTTGTTCTTCTCCAAGATACCTGATTTTTTTAAAAATGCTGTAATGCTTTTTCTCATTTCTGGTTCATAATTGGGACACCTGCTGGTTCTACTTTGAGCATCAACTTTCCACTTGCTGCTAACCATTGGTTAGCCCTGAAGATTAAAAATCCACCTCTAATCAGTGTGCCATGGACCCTCTTGGTGTGAAAGGGCAAGTAACTTTTAAGGCCTAACTAGTAGCACAGGATTCAAATTTTAATCCCTTAATCATGTTGTTGTGCTTCCGTCAAAAATTAAATGAATGGGCCTTTACTTGATATATCACTCTCCTCCCTTCCCTGCACTGCACACAAAGTGGATAAAAAGGGCCGTTTGTTGCCTCGCTTTAGAGCAGGGGTGCCCAAAAGGTAGATCCTCAGATGTTTTAAAACTACAGCTTCCATGAGGCTTTATCATTCCATAGCATTCTAAAGGCATGCAAAGCATCATGGGAGGTATAGTTTTACAACATCTGGGGATCTACCTTTTGGGCACCCCTGCTTTAGAGATTCCATTTCATTCTATATTTTTTTATTCCTTGTTGAATTTGCATTGAATAGGTGGGCGAGGGAGTTGAGCTTTTGCCTGCGATCTTACTCTGAATTTCCAAGCGTAGCTCATTTTGTGCGCTATTTTGTTTTTTAAACCAACTGGGAGATCGACACACAATGTTTTATTGAAATTACATTGTAAGGGAAGTACGAACAGCATTGCATTTATTTCCCATTATTTTTATTATTTTTTATTATAAACACATCTTATATTGAACAAAATTGTGTATATATATCACTGTAGGATGTTTCTGGTTGCAATAACCAAGAACTGTATCTACCGTATGTTAGGATTATACACACAGGCATTTTAAATTCTGGCGACATTTTTAAGGAGCCATATTCTTGAAAGATGCCTAATTAATATGGATAAGCAGAGTTTTTTCCTATTTTGTGGGGGGAGTAGAGAGCCTTTTTGGAGAGCAACACAAGTGGAGAAAAGAAGGTTATTGGGATGGACGAATAAGTGAGGGAGAGAGGGTGAGAGTATCACAAGTGAAAAACAAGGAATATAAGGACAGGGACACCAGTGGGAGAAGTCTAGTAAAGGTTTTGGGACACCCGTCTTGTTATTGGTATTTTGGTATTCACTATAAAACCTTCAATAAAAAAGTAAAAAACATAAAAAAGGTAGAGGGACATAGGGAGAGAGATATTAGTGGGTAAAGAAATAATATGAGGAGAAGGACACAAGTGAAGAAAGACAGCGAGGGACAGATGGATATAAATAGGGAAACGGGTAAGGTAGAAAGAGGAACACAAGAGGGTAAGGAGAGATAAGAGAAGAGGGACACAAGTGTGGGAAAGGGATAAAGAAAGAGGGAAATAATTGGGGAAAGAGGAGGACATGGGGAGTGGGTCAGTGGGCGCAGAGACGGGATGGACAGAGGGACAAAAGTGTGGGAAAGGAATATATATGATAAATGTTGCAAGTGAGGAAGGGGGATATTGAGGAATAATGCAAGTGTGAAAACGTTATATAGGAGGAGGATAGAGAGAGCAACAGGAGTGGTTGGAAAAGGGGTATGCTAAGAGGGACACAAGTGGGAAAGGGGGATTTGTATTGAAATACAGACGAATAACCAGGGGGCAAACAGTCAAACATTCTTGGCAATATGAGGGTAATGTGGCAACTGGTCAGCTTGATTTTCATCCAGTCTGAAACAAAGCGACAGTCATTTCAGTCAGGCTTCCTGAATCTATTATTTTATTATGCACTGCTTTTTTTTGTTTTCTTGTTTTTTTTATTTTTTTTTTATTTTTTTTTATTTGTATTTTATTAATCCCTATGTCCAAGGGCAAATAGTCAATATTTTCAGCAGGAATCCCAATGTGCACGTCAGTCGTCTGGTATTATCTAGACAGGCTGATTTCTTGCAGACAATCCCAATGTGAATTCACAATTCCCACTCCTAACTTTGCTCGTCGGGATTATTTACTAAAGGTGTCAGGTAGTGAATTCAAAGACCCAGAAACTGAAATCTGAATAGCAATATTAAAGTTTTCCCAAATCAGCAAATTTTACCTACATTTTGCAATTCATTTTTTATTTTACTACAATTTGGTGTTTTGAGCATAAACCCCTGGATGAGTTCAAAGAGATTTCACAAATTAGGCCGTAATAATCAACCACAAAATAAAGTTGAATATTTCAAATTTGACTATTGTGGCCTTAATGTGAAACTCATTTGAAAGATTTCCTTTTTTTAATTCTTTATTTTATTTGTGCACAGGTTAGATATACAGGGATGCACTGCCACAACAGCTGGTGCATGCACAACATCAAATAGAGGAACACTGCACATTTTATAATGTTGAGAAGAAGAAAAAAGAGGCAAGGTTACCAGAAAAGCCTTTAAGTCTCAGCGGCTAGTAGCATTATACTTGGCCAGTCCTATAACTCTTAAGTTTAACATGCTTTGTGAATATATTTAAGTTATGCTTATTATGTAGAGTATCATCGCAGTAATAGCTAGGCATTAATATGATTGTGCTTAATTGTGCATAAGGGAGTGACATACGTTTTTGTATAATAACGACAGGCCTGAGTAGTAAAACACAGAGTAGGTAAAACGTTAATGTTCAAGATATGTTAGAACAGTTGCAGTGCTGGATTTGCATATATGATAAACAGCACAATTGTAGTGATTTATGACATGAGAAACGTAAATTGTAGAAAGTAATCCAGGCACTCCAACGAATTCCAAAATAGGCAATTTTATTGGAACCAAGAGTTACACAGCAACGTTTCAACCCCTCAGGGTCTTTATCAAGAAACGTAATGCTGAGCTAAATTAATAGGAGAGTAGGTGATGAAAAAAGCTTAAGCTATGCAAGTAGTTTTAACTGCTTAGAGTGTAGAGAGCATTCATCAGGTTGCATAGATGGCAGGGCTGCCAGGAGCCATCTCCGCTGAATGCAGCCCAGACTTTGAGAGAGTCCTCCAGACAGTGCAGGCTTATCCAACCCCCGATCTGCAAAACCTTTGGCATAGTTACATAGTTACATAGCTGAAAAGAGACTTGCGTCCATCAAGTTCAGCCTTCCTCACATTTGTTTTTTTGCTGTTGATCCAAAAGAAGGCAAAAAAAACCCAGTTTGAAGCACAATTTTGCAACAAGCTAGGAAAAAAATTCCTTCTTGACCCCAGAATGGCAGTCAGATTTATCCTTGGATCAAGCAGTTATTACCCTACATTGAAAGATTATATCCTTGAATATTCTGTTCTTGCAAGTATGCATCTAGTAGCCGTTTGAACATCTGTATGGACTCTGATAAAACCACTTCTTCAGGCAGAGAATTCCACATCCTGATTGTTCTTACAGTAAAAAAACCTTTCCTTTGCCTTAGACGAAATCTTCTTTCTTCCAGTCTAAACGCATGGCCTCGTGTCCTATGTAAAGTCCGGTTTGTGAATAGATTTCCACACAATGGTTTGTATTGGCCCCGAATATATTTGTATAATGTTATCATATCCCCTCTCAGGCGACGTTTTTCTAAACTAAATAGGTTTAAATTTGTTAACCTTTCTTCATAGCCGATATGTTCCATTCCTTTTATTAATTTTGTAGCCCGCCTCTGCACTTTTTCTAGTGCCGTAATATCCTTCTTTAGAACAGGTGCCCAAAATTGCACAGCATATTCAATATGGGGTCTTACCAGTGATTTATAAAGAGGCAAAATTATATTCTTGTCCCGAGAATGAATGCCCTTTTTCATGCATGACAATACCTTACTGGCCTTGGCCACTGCTGATTGACATTGCACATTGTTGCATAGTTTGTTGTCTATAACAATTCCCAAGTCCTTTTGGCATGTCAGGAGTGAGTCCAGCATGATGTGTGCTGAGAGGGGTGAGTGCACTCCCAGTGTGTGATGCCTTGCTTCTGCCCGATCCTCCCTGGGAGGCAGCTGGAACGCAGGAGTGTCATGCAGGTCGGCAGGGTTATCAGCGTCGCATGGTGAGGGACTGGGTAGCAGGTCTCGACTGTACATTGCTGCAGGAGACTGGAATCCCACATGTTTGTAGGTCAGTAAGTGGTGATTTAGCTGTGTTAATGAGCCCTTTTGCTTTTCAACCATCAGTATAGCCTCGAGACTTCTGATCTGCTGTGACATGGTGGTCTCTGGCTGTCCCGCCATTTCAGGTCTGCCTGCCACTACCGTCATTTTCGTTATTGGGGCCCTCTGTGACTTAGGTGCTGCAGGTCGCGGGCACAGTCTCCTGGGACCGGGATAACCCCCACTGGTCCAACGGTGGGGGGAACGAGGCCTGTACTGTGTGGCATCAGAGTTCCAAAGGAAAACCACAGGGCAGGATAGCGAGGCGGCGGCTGTCCACCTTACTCACCGCCCGGGTAGGCCTCAGATGCAGCTATGCTGATGCCCTCTCAGGGGTCAGAACGCTTGTGGTCAGAGTGACTTCAGCACCAGTGCCTCTTTGCCCGCAAGACCGCTGCTTCTACACTGCAGATGGGTATATTATTCGCTTTTTGACCGGCATTAATATCGCTTTTCTGCAGGAACTCGTCTTGTATGCGACCTCTCAGCATGACGGTCCGGCCCCGGACCCAGATTTCCTTTTTTTTTTAAATCAATAACCCATTCTGCATGGGTGGAAAACTATTAACGATTAAACATTGTAATAAACAGCAGTGCTATTCATACTTTGAAAAGAATAATAGGTATTTTTTTATAATCCCCTAGGTATTTATTGGCTACTTAACCAACACCCTTTACTGTCTCTTTAAAAATATAAGCTATGAAATCATTGTACGATGACAGATGGGAGAGATAGCATTTACTACACTGTGAATTCTCACCCTCTGCTATAGGAATTGTTATTTATAAATAAATATTTCTCTGACAGCTTTAACAATAGGGATTATTTTATATTCTAAAGGGGGAACGGATTAAAGACCCAAGCGGGATACAACCGTAATATTTCCTTATTAAATTCTTACCAATAAAACGATGAATTTCTGGTTCTTCGGCTGAATTTCTATGGATCGCAGTAAATAAGATTATTTGTATACCCAGGATTTTAACAAATCATTATTCTACCAAAATCAGCAAACCGGACTGCAACCCCCATGCCCCAATGCGTCTGTTTTGGACTACACCCCCCATGATGCTTTGAAAGCATTATGGGTATCCAAGCTTTGTGGGAGCTGTAGTCCACAACATCTGGCGTGCCAAAGGTTGACTACCCCTGGACTATATCAAAGCCTACAATTTTTCACAATAAATGTATACAGGGAGTGCAGAATTATTAGGCAAATGAGTATTTTGACCACATCATCCTCTTTATGCATGTTGTCTTACTCCAAGCTGTATAGGCTCGAAAGCCTACTACCAATTAAGCATATTAGGTGATGTGCATCTCTGTAATGAGAAGGGGTGTGGTCTAATGACATCAACACCCTATATCAGGTGTGCATAATTATTAGGCAACTTCCTTTCCTTTGGCAAAATGGGTCAAAAGAAGGACTTAGGCTCAGAAAAGTCAAAAATAGTGAGATATCTTGCAGAGGGATGCAGCACCCTTAAAATTGCAAAGCTTCTGAAGCGTGATCATCGAACAATCAAGCGTTTCATTCAAAATAGTCAACAGGGTCGCAAGAAGCGTGTGGAAAAACCAAGGCGCAAAATAACTGCCCATGAACTGAGAAAAGTCAAGCGTGCAGCTGCCACGATGCCACTTGCCACCAGTTTGGCCATATTTCAGAGCTGCAACATCACTGGAGTGCCCAAAAGCACAAGGTGTGCAATACCCAGAGACATGGCCAAGGTAAGAAAGGCTGAAAGACGACCACCACTGAACAAGACACACAAGCTGAAATGTCAAGACTGGGCCAAGAAATATCTCAAGACTGATTTTTCTAAGGTTTTATGGACTGATGAAATGAGAGTGAGTCTTGATGGGCCAGATGGATGGGCCCATGGCTGGATTGGTAAAGGGCAGAGAGCTCCAGTCCGACTCAGACGCCAGCAAGGTGGAGGTGGAGTACTGGTTTGGGCTGGTATCATCAAAGATGAGCTTGTGGGGCCTTTTCGGGTTGAGGATGGAGCCAAGCTCAACTCCCAGTCCTACTGCCAGTTCCTGGAAGACACCTTCAAGCAGTGGTACAGGAAGAAGTCTGCATCCTTCAAGAAAAACATGATTTTCATACAGGACAATGCTCCATCACACGCGTCCAAGTACTCCACAGCGTGGCTGGCAAGAAAGGGTATAAAAGAAGAAAATCTAATGACATGGCCTCTTTGTTCACCTGATCTGAACCCCATTGAGAACCTGTGGTCCATCATCAAATGTGAGATTTACAAGGAGGGAAAAACAGTACACCTCTCTGAACAGTGTCTGGGAGGCTGTGGTTGCTGCTGCACGCAATGTTGATGGTGAACAGATCAAAACACTGACAGAATCCATGGATGGTAGGCTTTTGAGTGTCCTTGCAAAGAAAGGTGGCTATATTGGTCACTGATTTGTTTTTGTTTTGTTTTTTGAATGTCAGAAATGTATATTTGTGAATGTTGAGATGTTATATTGGTTTCACTGGTAATAATAAATAATTGAAATGGGTATATATTTGTTTTTTTGTTAAGTTGCCTAATAATTATGCACAGTAATAGTCACCTGCACACACAGATATCCCCCTAACATAGCTAAAACTAAAAACAAACTAAAAACTACTTCCAAAAATATTCAGCTTTGATATTAATGAGTTTTTTGGGTTCACTGAGAACATGGTTGTTGTTCAATAATAAAATGAATCCTCAAAAATACAACTTGCCTAATAATTCTGCACTCCCTGTATATATCGTTGATTTTGGTAAAGTTATTTTGTAAACTCTGCAAAGTTTACAGTTCACTGATTTGACACTCACAGACAGACAAACATTTAGTGATGGACACACATACAGTTACACACAGAACACTGACACACACATTTACACGCAGAGGACACTGACAGACACGTAGGAAATTGACACACACACACACACACACACATATATACACACTTGGAAAAATGAAACATACACATTTACACAGAGAAGACACTGACACACACACATTGACAGGCTAAATCACCAAAATAGTGTAGTGCTTTTTGACTTGAATATGGTATATACAAACAGTGGAATGTGTAGAAATGCTTTTTAAAAATCACCCTTAATGACAAAAACAAACTTATCTTATAAGTTGATATAGAATATAAAAAAATGGTTTGGGCAAAAACAAAAAAAGGATCACTCACCATATTCAGAGCTAATTATCCCTAGCACTGGATGGCAGGCTTTGGGTCCATATTGATGGCCCTTCCTTTACAATTGGATGCAGAAAATCTTCTTATTATCAAATGTACAACTCAAGAGAAATAAAGTCCATAAAGTACATTATTGCTGGCAGTAAACGTAAGTGTATAAAAGATCTGATTATACTCACAAATGTGGAGCCTAATAAAGAAGCTCAGATCAGAAGCCTTGCATGGTAAGGGACCATACACCCTCCTTACAGTATTCAGGAAGTCTGGACATCTAGGTTTTTTTATAATTTGTTTATTATTGGGATTTGTACAAATAGTACACTCCTTGATCATTGTATGGTCATAAAAGTAACAAAAAAATAAAACATGGATACAAAACAATATTGGCTTGGCGCAGCAAGCGATGGTAGGTGCATAATAAGGAAACACAGCAAACAAATTAGCGTCAAATTAGTCGTCTATGCTGATACATACATATAGTTTCCTTAATCTAGGGTATGAGTCTATGTGAGGAATACTGTATACCTAAAGTCGCGTCAACTAGATCTCGTGGCCACAGGACCAGTCGCTCTGTCCGGAAAGTCCCTGTGATTAGAAATAGAACTCTCGACCCTAGCCTCCCAAGCCGTCTGTAGATCGTCATGTCAGCTGAGGCACAACGTAGTCAGTTTGTTGCTTGCGTACAGTCACTTAACTAAACAGTGGATCATTATATATCATATATTGCACCCATATGTGCTCTGCACACTAAGACATAGGGCCCTCGATTCACACTCTGTCAGTCTTTGTATCAAGACCCCTAACCAGGGCTTTATATACCGAGTCTATATAGTCTCTCCGGATCAGGACATGAGGTGATAGTGTCCTCTACTGTAGAGAGATTTTCGCTTTACATTAAGTCATACAGTCATATAGTACATTCTTGTATTTGTGTGAACTAAGATAAAAGCGTTTCATTCAAAATAGTCAACAGGGTCGCAAGAAGCGTGTGGAAAAACCAAGGCGCAAAATAACTGCCCATGAACTGAGAAAAGTCAAGCATGCAGCTGCCACGATGCCACTTGCCACCAGTTTGGCCATATTTCAGAGCTGCAACATCACTGGAGTGCCCAAAAGCACAAGGTGTGCAATACTCAGAGACATGGCCAAGGTAAGAAAGGCTGAAAGACGACCACCACTGAACAAGACACACAAGCTGAAACGTCAAGACTGGGCCAAGAAATATCTCAAGACTGATTTTTCTAAGGTTTTATGGACTGATGAAATGAGAGTGAGTCTTGATGGGCCAGATGGATGGGCCCGTGGCTGGATTGGTAAAGGGCAGAGAGCTCCAGTCCGACTCAGACGCCAGCAAGGTGGAGGTGGAGTACTGGTTTGGGCTGGTATCATCAAAGATGAGCTTGTGGGGCCTTTTCGGGTTGAGGATGGAGTCAAGCTCAACTCCCAGTCCTACTGCCAGTTCCTGGAAGACACCTTCTTCAAGCAGTGGTACAGGAAGAAGTCTGCATCCTTCAAGAAAAACATGATTTTCATGCAGGACAATG